GGAGTCTCAAGCTACAACAAAAACTTAGACCGGTTTTCAATTGTTCACTAAAAATGGAGGACAAGTGCTCCTTAAACGAGGCTGCCTATTCAGGAGTAAACATGATCAACAATATGATCGAGTTAATGTTAAAATTCAAAACAAACATGTACGTTATGTTAGGCGACACAAGGAAAGCCTTTCAAATCATTAAACTTAAAAGGGAGGAAAGTAAGCACAAATTCCGTTTCTTCATAAAATGTAGACAAACTGTTGTACTTAGATAAAACACCTTCATTTTTGGATTTACTACAAGCCCATTTATTCTTAACTACAATTTAAAATATTAATTACAGCAGTGCTAGCTTGATAAATTTACTGAAATGCTCAAAAAAATTTTATGCAGATTGTGACGTCCCCCGGTGTCGCTGTGCCAATCTGGACGTCTGCCTGGCCGCGCCCGCCGTGCTGTCCTAGTCGCGGCGCCATTTGTGACGTCACCCCGCCTGTCTCCGCGCTGTCGTTGTCCTATTCTGTCCCGTGACGACCAATGTGACTTGGTATTGGTCGCGGTACCAAATGTGACGTTCTAATCTTTTGCTGAATTGGATGGGAATCTGGTTAGATTCGGTATCAGCCTTGTCGTTCCCAGCTCACCTCCAACGTCTGGTTACCGAAGTAACTGTTTTGATTTTTAGTCTAACCTACCCATGTTGTGATTTGATCTTAGGTAGACGAAATCAATCAGTCGCCGGGCCGTAATGCAAGCTGAGTCCGGACAAAGGTAACACCGCACAAGTATATGTAAAAGAAAATAAAGTAATGACTCGAAAAGTTCAAATGTGTTAAAAAAGGATAAAAATATTTTATATCTGGTTGCTGAATACAGAACTGATTCTTCTTCCCAACCCGCTGTATGGATTCGTGACACTTTGTGTTTGTTAGGCGAGTCTTAACATCTTAAGTTGTTTGTTCTTTAAGAAACTGGTTCTTGGTGTATCTTCAGGCGATATTCGTAAAACTTGTTTTGGTGGTGTGAGTCTAAGTCGTTCTTCAAAAATAAATTGTTTTTGGTTAGAAGTTGAGGTCGTGATTTGCGTGGAATCTTTCAGTCGGGTTCCTGCGAGGCGGGTCTCAATCTGCAACTCTAACCCAACTGCGAACTCAGCTGCGAACTTCGAACTGCCAACTTACTCGTTGCGACTCTGCTTATATGGACGCCGACCAAAACCGGGGTGGGCTTGTCGCGGTTTGAGGTTCCTTGATAATTCTAAATCCACAATCCACTTCTTTGTTTTCGGTCAGGAAAATTTTCCATTTTTGGAAGTCCTTCCTGATTCTTCCTTTTTCATATGGGTATCTCACTCAATCCCTTCAGGGGGCGTCAACAGATTTCCCCACTCTCTCACAGTGGCATCTCACACCAATCCCTCCAGGGAGCATTAACAGGCCTCCCCTCCTTCTTCACATGATTACCTCCGCCTAACGCTCACGCCACCATTCAGCCAATGGGCGCCCAGCGGCGTGGGTGTGGCCGGACTAGCCTCGGTTTAAAAATTCTTGCTCAAGGAAAAAAATTATCTTCCTTTTTCTTTTTTCTTTTCTTTCTTTTTCTTCTTCTCGACAACAACCCAATACGACCCGTAGTGTGGTCTCTTAATCTCAATTTTATCCTGAATGTCACCTGGAATTCGTCACTCGGGACCTTCGCTAAACAAGTGGGTGGTCATCCGGCGATATCACATCTTGGTGCCAATTATTCGTTCTGATAAAATAATTTTGCTATCATAGCCAACTCCTGACAATAAGCAGGTGCCTTTTCCAAACGACATCTCCGTAGATAGCTAATGGTTTAATCTTTCCTTCCTGGTATTCTGCGGGTGGTCCAACGGACATTTTGTTTTTTTCGGTCAGGAAAATTTATTTTTATCTCTCAGTTTCTGTCTCGTAGGCCACTCGACCAACTTGAAACTTTCATTATTGCCATACTCGGTGCGCCGTCATAAATCAAACGCGACAGATGTGCGGCCTTACTTTCTTCGCTAATGAAAATAAAATGTTTCCACTTTTCATTATTAAAACAAAAAATAACATCGCTTAGTGTCCTTTTAGTGATGGCTTCTTATCACCTAAATTTAATTCTCGCCTTTTCTTTTTTTTCCTTCCTCGCAACCCTAAATAATGTCACAAGATAATCTACAACAAACTAGCAATAATCGTGATAAATTTATCGACTTGTATAAAAAGGCGGTTGATAGACTCAAGGAAAGCAATTTCAACCTATGCTCTTGTAACACTATTAGTAAGGAGCTAAAATCAATTATAGTAAAGAAAAGTACCATCTCTCAACATGAAGATTATGAAAAGATATTAGGACATAATAATTGTCCTAACGATGATACGATAACAGTGACAAAGATCACAATAAACAGAAATGTGAGGACTAGGAAGCCAGTCAGCCATGATTTATGACACATTATCATTATATGAGGAAGTTCCCAAGAATATATTTGTAACATGGTCTACATTATCCAACATCTCTTTCTCATGTCAAGCTATTAATACAGAGGAGGCCTTAAATCTTTATATATTTTGCAACGCATAACTGCAGTTTATGGTCTCGTCGTTTATGCAATGCAAAATGGGAATTTGTACATACTGTTCACTAAAGAAAAAGTGGCAACATCAAAGACAAAATCTATTCCTACCATAGAGTTATTTGCAGTGTATATAGTCTTTGAAGCATTGTCTATAATTTTGAAATCATATTCAAATGTTATGATTGAAAATATGTGCATTATGGTAAATGCACAGGTTGTACTATCATGGTTACTTAGTGATGCACCTACAATCAAAATTCTACTTGTCAGAAACTGGCTTAAGTATATACAAGCCATCAAAGGTCAAATTGAGAAAATTGAAAAAAGGATAAAATTTAAATACATACCTGATTTTATGAGGAGTTAACTTTGACCAATTTGTGACTAAATTGCAATTCTGGAAAGATGGTCTGTCGTGGCTACCAAACAAAGACTCTTTTTACTGACCTAGCAGCAGTCTGGAATTTTTAAAGTATTCTGAATGTAAATAAAGAAAAAAGTGTGCAAGACAATAAGAAATACTACCTGCCGAAAAAAAAAGTGGATGTTTGTTTTATCGGCTGAAAAATGTAAGAAATCCGATCCCATATATGAAGGAACACACACACACACACACACACACACACACACACACACACACACACACACACACACACACACAAACAACCTGGGTTTTTTAACCTAAGTCACTCCACGGAATCGCTAAAACATAGAGCATAGTCTGATGAAAAAGACGCCAAAGTTTATGAAAACAAAATTTTATCGTCAAAATGCTTATTTTTTATGAAGAGGATAGACTAAATGTTTTTTTAATTATTTTTAAAAATTTTTTCCATCTTTTTAGAATATTCTAAATTTTGATTTGAAAAACCTTGTTTCTCTTTGTCGCAACAAGGGGTAGTAAATAACATAGATAATTTTTAGCGCATTTTTTTTGTATTTACACACATTAATTTGGAAAATCTTGCAAAAATAAAAATAATTGTCAGATGTTAATGAAACTTTCAGAAACTATTCACAGATGATCGAAATTATTATAAATATTTTTTTTTATTAAAGTCATGGCAGAAATGTTTTTTTTTATATTTATTAACACCCCCATAACTAATTTTATGAAAAACTCTAGAAATTCGAGACCATCGGTTTTAGTGATTACAATAGTTAAAAGGACAAGGCTTTGAAGAATGCAAATCATGTTTTTTTTTGTTTTTTGTTTTTTGGCCAACGTACCTGAAAATCAGCTGTGAATTGTAACATACAAAACTCAATAAAACAAATATATTATTTAGTTTCAAATGCTTTTATTTGTTTTAATTTGTTTTTTATGAATATGGACAATATTTTCTGAAAGCAAAAAATTTTTTCAATGAAAATTGAATTTTTAATACAATTATTTCTTATTTCTTTAATTTTAAAAAGATTTTTAAAAAATGTTTAAATTGAATTTTAAAAAATATTTTAACATTAGTTAAAAGCAACATCAACATTTCAAAATGTCCGTGTGAGATTGTCATTGTCTAGCGCATGCCTCTTAAGGCGCATTACGGGAGTCCGGCTACGGGGGCCGCCTAAACGAACGAAAACGGCCTTCGACAAAACTACGCACTTTACGCACTTACCTTCTGAGGCGCATGACGGGAGTCCGGCTACGGTAAACGAAGGCCACCGACGCAGCACTTCGGCACTACTTCGGGCTAGTGGACCCATCACCACTGTCCGGGCACGACACACGTCCGGCTACGGCAAACGAAGGCATTCGACGAACTTAGGCATTTAACGATTCTACGGGACTTACGCACATGCCTCGTAATGCGCATTACGGGAGTCCGGCTACGGCAAACGAAGGCCTCCTACTTCTCCTTCCACGGGACTTTACGCACGTGGTGCCTCGTAAGGCGCAGTGCGGGAGTCCGGCTACGGCAAACGGAAGGCCGTCGACGAATCGACGCCACTTACCGCACGGCAGCAGGAGTACCGGCTGTCGCCGTCGCTTGCTGTGCTGTCGTCGTCGTCGTCGTCGTCGTCGTCGTCGTCGTCGTCGTCGTCGACGTCGCCGACTTCCTCTCCGCCGCGCCACCGGGCCGTCCGTCCGTCCGTCCGTCCGTCCGGCTCTCTTTCAGTCTTTAGCAGACGAATGCGGTTCGTGTAACAACCTTTGCTTTTTTTTTGCAAAATTTCATACTGTCCGATACAGAAACTATACATGAAGCTTAGAAGCTTAGAAATCACATAGAAACAACAATCAATAGGTTCAGTTTGATATTCGAATTTTATTTTTGAATTTTTCCCAAAAAACCGAAAATCGTAACTTCGTCCGAAAAAATAATTTCGCCGATCGCTGCCGAGGCGGGCGACGCGCGTCCGGCTACGGCAAACGAAGGCCTCCTTCTAAGGAACTACGCACTTACCTTCTAAGGCGCATTACGGGAGTCCGGCTACGGTGAACGAAGGCGCCGCCTTCGGCACATTCGGGCTTCGTGGTAAGGCGCAGTACGGGAGTCCGGCTACGGCAAACGAAGGCCTTCGACGAAAGGCACGCGATTCCCACGGACCACTACGGCACTTTACGCGAAGGCATTCGACGAACTTACGCATTCGATTCTACGGGACCGACGCATTACGGCGAAGGCCTTCTACGGGACTTACGGGAGCCCGACGCAGTCCGGCTGCGGTAAACGAAGGCCACCGGCCAACGACGCACTTCGACGGGCACTTTACGCACTTCTACTAAGGCGCATTTCGGGCTAGTGGTCCCATCACCACTGTCCAGGCAGGCACCACTGTCCAGGCACGACACGCGTCCGGCTACGGCTACGGCACCCAAACGAAGGCATTCGACGAACTTGGGCATTTAACGATTCTACGGGACTTACGCACTTACGGGACTTTACGCACTTGCTATCAGCTCGCTTGCGGCAGTCGGAAAGCGAACGAAAACGAACGCGCGCTTCGTCATCATCGCTTTGCTGTTCGGACACTTGCGAGATGACGAGGCTGCTCTCAACTTAAGTCAGTAACAGTTACATCCGCCGTTTACCCCGACTTTGGTCGGTCGGTCGGTTCATTTGAGAAAATCTCGTGCTAGGCAGTGCGGAGACGACACGACGGCAACGACTTACGGACTTAGGCACATGCCTCTTAAGGCGCATTACGGGAGTCCGGCTACGGTGAACGAAGGGGCCGCCTTCGGGACTTACGCACATGCCTCTTAAGGCGCAGTACGGGAGTCCGGCTACTACGGCAAACGAAGGCCTTCGACAAAACTACGCACTTTACGCACTTACCTTCTGAGGCGCATGACGGGGAGTCCGGCTACGGTAAACGACGAAAGGCACCGACGCAGCACTTCGGCACTACTTCGGGCTTAACCCATCACCACTGTCCGGGCACGACACACGTCCGGCTACGGGCTACGGCAAACGAAGGCATTCGACGAACTTGGGCATTTAACGATTCTACGGAAGTTACGCACATGCCTCTTAGGGCGCATTACGGGAGTCCGGCTACGGCAAACGAAGGCCTCCTACTCTCTTCCACGGGACTTTACGCACGGTGTGCCTCGTAAGGCGCAGTGCGGGAGTCCGGCTACGGCAAACGGAAGGCCGTCGACGAATCGACGCCACTTACCGCACGGCAGCAGGAGTACCGGCTGTCGCCGTCGCTGCTGTGCTGTCGTCGTCGTCGTCGTCGTCGTCGTCGTCGTCGTCGTCGTCGTCGTCGCCCGTCGTCGTCCCGTCCGCCGCGCCGTCCGTCCGTCCGTCCGTCCGTCCGTCCGCTCCGTCCGTCTTTAGCAGACTTTAGTCTTTAGCGAATGCGGTTCGTGTAACAACCTTTGCTTTTTTTGCAAAATTTCATACTGCCGATACAGAAACTATACAAGAAGCTTAGAAATCACATAGAAACAACAATCAATAGGTTCAGTTTGATATTCGAATTTTATTTTTTGAATTTTTCCCAAAAAAACCGAAAATCGTAACTTCGTCCGAAAAGTAATTTCGCCGATCGCTGCCGAGGCGGGCGACGCGCGTCCGGCTACGGCAAACGAAGGCCTCCTTCTAAGGAACTACGCACTTACCTTCTAAGGCGCATTACGGGAGTCCGGCTACGGTGAACGAAGGGGGGCCGCCTTCGCGCACATGCCTTAAAGGCGCAGTACGGGAGTCCGGCTACGGCAGACGAAGGCCTTCGACAAAACTACGCACTTTACGCACTTACCTTCTGAGGCGCCTGACGGGAGTCCTGCGGTAAACGAAGGCCACCGACGCACTTAGGCACTACTACTGCTGCTGCTTTACAATTTCGGGGCTAGTGGTCCCATGACCACTGTTCAGGCACGACGCACGTCCGGCTACGGCAAACGAAGGCATTCGACGAACTTGGGCATTTAACGATTCTACGGGACTTACGCACGGAGCAAGCTATCAGCTCGCTTGCGGCAGTCGGAAAGCGAACGAAAGAACGCGCGCTTCGTCATCATCGCTTTGCTGTTCGGACACTTGCGAGATGACGAGGCATCTGCTCACAACTTAAGTCAGTAACAGTTACATCCGCCGTTTACCCGACTTTGGTCGGTCGGTCGGTTCATTTGAGAAAATCTCGTGCTAGGCAGTGCGGAGACGACACGACGGCAACGACTCTACAAGACTTAGGCACATGCCTCTTAAGGCGCATTACGGGAGTCCGGCTACGGTGAACGAAGGGGCCGCCTTCTACGGGACTTACGCACATGCCTCTTAAGGCGCAGTACGGGAGTCCGGCTACTACGGCAAACGAAGGCCTTCGACAAAACGACGCACTTTACGCACTTACCTTCTGAGGCGCATGACGGGAGTCCGGCTACGGTAAACGAAGGCCACCGACGCAGCACTTCGGCACTACTTCGGGCTAGTGGACCCATCACCACTGTCCGGGCACGACACACGTCCGGCTACGGCAAACGAAGGCATTCGACGAACTTGGGCATTTAACGATTCTACGGAAGTTACGCGCATGCCTCTTAGGGCGCATTACGGGAGTCCGGCTACGGCAAACGAAGGCCTCCTACTTCTCCTTCCACGGGACTTTACGCACGTGGTGCCTCGTAAGGCGCAGTGCGGGAGTCCGGCTACGGCAAACGGAAGGCCGTCGACGAATCGACGCCACTTACCGCACGGCAGCAGGAGTACCGGCTGTCGCCGTCGCTTGCTGTGCTGTCGTCGTCGTCGTCGTCGTCGTCGTCGTCGTCGTCGTCGTCGTCGTCGTCTCCGCCGCCGCGCCACCGGGCCGTCCGTCCGTCCGTCCGTCCGTCCGTCCGTCTTTTCTCTCTTTAGCAGACGAATGACGGTTCGTGTAACAACCTTTGCTTTTTTTTGCAAAATTTTTGCAAAATTTCATACTGTCCGATACAGAAACTATACAAGAAGCTTAGAAATCACATAGAAACAACAATCAATAGGTTCAGTTTGATATTCGAATTTTATTTTTGAATTTTTCCCAAAAAACCGAAAATCGTAACTTCGTCCGAAAAGTAATTTCGCCGATCGCTGCCGAGGCGGGCGACGCGCGTCCGGCTACGGCAAACGAAGGCCTCCTTCTAAGGAACTACGCACTTACCTTCTAAGGCGCATTACGGGAGTCCGGCTACGGTACGGCGAAGGCCACCGAACTTACGGCACTTCCTTCGCACGCCTGACGTGGTCCCGGTAAACGAAGGCGCAGGGCACGGGAGTCCGGCGGCAAACGAAGGCATTCGACGAACTTAATTTAACGATTCTACGCACATGCCTCGTAATGCGCATTACGGGAGTCCGGCTACGGCAAACGAAGGCCTTCGCACGGGACTTTACACATGCCTCTTAAGGCGCCTTACGGGTCCGTCCGGCTGCGGCCTAAACGAAGGCCTGCGACGCAACGCACTTTACGCACGACTACTACTGCGGCGCTACGGGGGCTTCGGGGTAAACGAAGGCCACCACTTAGTCCCGCAGGGTCACGACACGTTCGGCACGGCACGTCCGGCTACGGCAAACGAAGGCATTCGACGAACTTAGGCATTTAACGATTCTACGGGACTTACGCACGCATCGTAATGCGCAACGGGAGTCCGGCTACAGCTCGAAGGCTTGCGGCAGTCGGAAGTCCGGCTACGGCGAACGACGAATCGAACGCGCGCAGGAGTTCGTCATCATCGCTTTGCTGTTCGGACGACGCACCGTTGCGATTACGGGAGTCTTTAGATCGAATGCGGCATCTGCTCAAAACTTTACGCACGTCCGATACAGAAACTATACAAGTCGAAACGGAAGGCCGTCGACGAATCGACGTCGCTGTCCGTCGTACCGTCGCTGCCGCGTCGTCGCGTCAAACGTCGAACTTGGCCGGCAGCGGGTCGGTCGGTCTCTTTCAGTCTTTAGCAGACGAATGCGGTTCGTCGTTTGCTTTTTTGCAAAATCATACTGTCGACACGACGGCAAAATCACATAGAACTTAAATAGGACGTTTGATATTCGAATTTTATTTTTTCATTTTTCCCAAAAACGTGCTAGGCGCAACGACACGACGGCAACGACTCCGGACTTACGCATTCGCATTTCGGGAGTCGGGCTCCGTCTACGGTGAACGAAGGGGTCCCGCCTTCTACTTACGCACATGCCTCTTAAGGCGCAGTACGGGAGTCCGGCTACTGCAAACGAAGGCCTTCGACAAAACTACGCACTTTACGCACTTACCTTCTGAGGCGCATGACGGGAGTCCGGCTACGGTAAACGAAGGCCACCGACGCACACTTCGGCACTACGCAGTCACTACTTCGGGCCAGCTCAGTTTGATGTCACCACTGTCCGGGCACGACACACGTCCGGCTACGGCAAACGAAGGCATTCGACGAACTTGGGCATTTAACGATTCTACGGGACTTACGCACATGCCTCTTAGGGCGCATTACGGGAGTCCGGCTACGGCAAACGAAGGCCTCCTACTTCGGCCGGGAGTCCGGCTCCACGGGACTTTACGCACGTGGTGCCTCGGTGCCGCAGTGCGGGAGTCCGGCTACGGTAAACGGAAGGCCGTCGACGAATCGACGCCACTTTACGCACGGCGCCTCAGGACGTCGGGACGTACGGCACGCGTCCGACGAATCGACGCCACTTACCGCACGGCAGCAGGAGTACCGGCTGTCGCGCGGCTGTCGCGGCGCTGTCGCTGTCGTCGTCGTCGTCGTCGTCGTCGTCGTCGTCGTCGTCGTCGTCGTCGTCGCCCGACGCCCGCCGCCCACCGCCGTCCGTCCGTCCGTCCGTCCGCCGTCCGTCTCTTCTCAGTCTTTTTAGCAGACGAATGCGGTTCGTGTAACAACCTTTGCTTTTTTGCAAAATTTCATACTGTCCGATACAGAAACTATACAAGAAGCTTAGAAATCACATAGAAACAACAATCAATAGGTTCAGTTTGATATTCGAATTTTATTTTTTGAATTTTTCCCAAAAAAACCGAAAATCGTAACTTCGTCCGAAAAAAATTTCGCCGATCGCTGCCGAGGCGGGCGACGCGCGTCCGGCTACGGCAAACGAAGGCCTCCTTCGAAAACTTCGCCGAAAGGCGCATTACCGGCTAAAACGAATCGAAGGCGCAACGGCACGGGCTAGTCGGCGGGCCTCTACGCTTTCGCACGGAAACGGCGCACGACCTTCGGGCGCACTACGGCATTACGGTCGACGGCAAACGAAGAAGGCGCCTTCTACGCACATGCCTCGGCGCAGTACGGGAGTCCGGCTACGGCAACGAAGGCCTTCTTAAAAAACGCACGCGCACGCCTCGGGTCGGCTACGGGAGTCCGGCTACGGCAGACGAAGGCCTTCGACAAAACGCACGCACTTTACGCACGGGAGTCCGGCTACGCCTAAACGAAGGCCTTCGACCGGCTGGGTCCCTTCTGAAGGCGCCGACGCACTTCCGGCTACGGCAAACGAAGGCCGACGACGCGCCGCTACGTTCCCATCACCACTGTCCAGGCAGGCACGACGCGTCCGGCTACGGCAAACGAAGGCATTCGACGAACTTTCGCATTTAACGACGCGGGGCTACGGCGCGGCGACGACGACGGCGCGGCATTAACGATTCGCGGAATTTTACGAAAAAACGCTTTTACGACGAAACGGCGCGCTCAGCTGATATTCGCGAAACGAAAAAACGCGCGCGTCGCGCTTCGTCATCGCATCGATTTGCTGTTCGGACACTTGCGAGATGACGAGGCATCTGCTCTGGTCAGTAACAGTTACTCAGCTAAGTCACATTTACATCGCGCCGACGCCGTTTACCGACTTTGGTCGGTCGGTCGGTTCATTTGAGAAAAAAATCGTGCTAGGCAGTGCGGAGACGACACGACGAACAACGACTTTAACGACTCTACAAGGACTTAGGCACATGCCTCTTAAATGCGCATTACGGGAGTCCGGCTACGGTGAACGAAGGGGCCGCCTTCTACGGGACTTACGCACATGCCTCTTAAGGCGCAGTACGGGGAGTCCGGCTACTACGGCAAACGAAGGCCTTCGACAAAACTACGCACTTTACGCACTTACCTTCTGAGGCGCATGACGGGAGTCCGGCTACGGTAAACGAAGGCCACCGACGCAGCACTTCGGCACTACTTCGGGCTAGTGGACCCATCACCACTGTCCCCATCACCACTGTCCGGGCACGACGTCCGGCTCCGGGCAAACGAACGAAGGCATTCGACGAACTTGGGCATTTAACGATTCTACGGAAGTTACGCACATGCCTCTTAGGGCGCATTACGGGAGTCCGGCTACGGCAAACGAAGGCCTCCTACTTCTCCTTCCACGGGACTTTACGCACGTGGTGCCTCGTAAGGCGCAGTGCGGGAGTCCGGCTACGGCAAACGGAAGGCCGTCGACGAATCGACGCCACTTACCGCACGGCAGCAGGAGTACCGGCTGTCGCCGTCGCTTGCTGTGCTGTCGTCGTCGTCGTCGTCGTCGTCGTCGTCGTCGTCGTCGTCGTCGTCGTCGTCGCCGTCGCTTCCTCCCGCCGCGCCCCGTCCGCCGTCCGTCCGTACGTCCGGCCGCTCTCTCTTTCAGTCTTTAGCAGACGAATGCGGTTCGTGTAACAACCTTTGCTTTTTTGCAAAATTTCATACTGTCCGATACAGAAACTATACAAGAAGCTTAGAAATCACATAGAAACAACAATCAATAGGTTCAGTTTGATATTCGAATATTTGATATTCGAATTTTTTTTGAATTTTTCCCAAAAAAAAGGCCTCGAAAATCGTAACTTCGTCCGAAAAGTAATTTCGCCGATCGCTGCCGAGGCGGGCGACGCGCGTCCGGCTACGGCAAACGAAGGCCTCCTTCTAAGGAACTACGCACTTACCTTCTAAGGCGCATTACGGGAGTCCGGCTACGGTGAACGAAGGGGGGGGCGCCTACGCACACGCCTGCCTTAAGGCGCAGTACGGGAGTCCGGCTACGGCAGACGAAGGCCTTCGACAAAACTACGCACTTTACGCACTTACCTTCTGAGGCGCCTGACGGGAGTCCGGCTGCGGTAAACGAAGGCCACCGACGCACTTAGGCACTACTACTGCTGCTACAATTTCGGGCTAGTGGTCCCATCACCACTGTCCAGGCAGGCACGACACGCGTCCGGCTACGGCAAACGAAGGCATTCGACGAACTTGGGCATTTAACGATTCTACGGGACTTACGCACGGGGGCATTTAACGATTCTACGGGACTTACGCACGGAGCAAGCTCGCTCAGCTCGCTTTCGGAAAGCGAACGAAAGAACGCGCGCTTCGTCATCATCGCTTTGCTGTTCGGACACTTGCGAGATGACGAGGCATCTGCTCACAACTTAAGTCAGTAACAAGTCAGTAACAGTTACATCCGCCGTTTACCCGACTTTGGTCGGTCGGTCGGTTCATTTGAGAAAATCTCGTGCTAGGCAGTGCGGAGACGACACGACGGCAACGACTCTACAAGGACTTAGGCACATGCCTCTTAAGGCGCATTACGGGAGTCCGGCTACGGTGAACGAAGGGGCCGCCTTCTACGGGACTTACGCACATGCCTCTTAAGGCGCAGTACGGGAGTCCGGCTACTACGGCAAACGAAGGCCTTCGACAAAACTACGCACTTTACGCACTTACCTTCTGAGGCGCATGACGGGAGTCCGGCTACGGTAAACGAAGGCCACCGACGCAGCACTTCGGCACTACCGGGCTAGTGGACCCATCACCACTGTTCCCATCACCACACGAACGTCCGGCTACGGCAAACGAAGGCATTCGACGAACTTGGGCATTTAACGATTCTACGGACTTACGCACATGCCTCTTAATGCATTACGGGGGAGTCCGGCTACGGCAAACGAAGGCCTCCTACTTCTCCTTCCACGGGACTTTACGCACGTGGTGCCTCGTAAGGCGCAGTGCGGGAGTCCGGCTACGGCAAACGGAAGGCCGTCGACGAATCGACGCCACCACCGCGTCGGCAGCAGGAGCCGGCTGTCGCCGTCGCCGTCTGTCGCCGTCGTCGTCGTCGTCGTGTCGTCGTCGTCGTCGTCGTCGTCGTCGTCGTCGTCGTCGTCCGTCCGCCGTCCGCCGTCCGTCCGTCCGTCCGTCCGTCCGTCTCTTTCCGCTCTCTCTTTCAGTCTTTAGCAGACGAATGCGGTTCGTGTAACAACCTTTGCTTTTTTGCAAAATTTCATACTGTCCGATAAGAAACTATACAAGAAGCTTAGAAATCACATAGAAACAACAATCAATAGGTTCAGTTTGATATTCGAATTTTATTTTTGAATTTTTCCCAAAAAACCGAAAATCGTAACTTCGTCCGAAAAGTAATTTCGCCGATCGCTGCCGAGGCGGGCGACGCGCGTCCGGCTACGGCAAACGAAGGCCTCCTTCTAAGGAACTACGCACTTACCTTCTATGGCGCATTACGGGAGTCCGGCTACGGTGAAGGTTGGGGGGGCCGCCTTCTACGCACATGCCTCTTAAGGCGCAGTACGGGAGTCCGGCGCATACGGG